CATTTACCAGCTATAATATGTTGTATTATACCAGCTATAATATGTTGTATTGTGGAGTCCTTGGTGCTCTTCGAGCTTGTTTGCTTGCAGATGTTTCATTACCCAACCATGTTAGAATAGAACAACAGAATTGGAAGGTACCTTAGAGGTCTTCTAGTCCAACCCACTGCTTAGGCAAAAAACCCTACACCACTTCACTTTTTTTTTAAATTTCCAGTGCTGGAGACAGTTACCTGTGACAGTGCAATTTTGAGATTTTCACTTCCTTCATGCCAGCTCAGAGGGAAAAATATTCGATGTGGTGAAAACTTGGTTGGTGTCAAGCGCTTCCTTTGGGCCAGTGGTGGGATCCAGATTTTTAAACTACCGGTTCTGTGGGTGTGGCTTGGCTTGGTGGGTGTGGTGGGGGGAAGGATATTGTAAAATCCCCACTAACCTGCTTTCCAGCTCCGTTCTCCTGTGCAGGGCAACCAAAGGAGACCCAGCCAATCAGCTGGGACTCGGGAGGCAGAGAATAGATGGGGGCGGGGCCAGTCAGAGATGGGATTTGCCAGTTCTCCGAACTACTCAAAATGTCCGCTACCGGTTCTCCAGAACTGGTCAAAACCTGAACACCACCTCTGGAGATGCTTATTGATTCCTGGTTCCTGTAATCCCATTTTTACAGAAATAAGCTCAGCTTTGGGCACGGTTCCCCTAAATTGGGTGCGAAACCAGGGCCCTTTCCTGACTTGTGGACATCAACTCCCAGAATTCCTGAGCATGGCTTGGCCTGGCTGGCTCAGGAATTCTGGGCATTGAAGTCCGCAAGCCACAAAAGGGCCATAGTTCCTGACCCTTGCCCTAAAAGCTTCTCTTTGTGACCTAATGACAGCTATTTTCTACCCTGGGAAGGGGGAGGGGAACATTAGCTATATTTCCTCAGCTGTGCTTTTATTTTATTTTTAATTAGCCTATTGGTGGTTCTGATTTTGAGTGATGGTTTTCCCGGGACCAAAGCTGGTTCGCTTCCACGTAGCAAAGGGGAAGACAGCAGTTCAAAAAAGAGGAAGCCCCACACTTTTGAATTTCCACATCGGGCTTCAAATAGCTGAACGGACAAAATGAGGAGTAGCTGTAGGCTAAATTAAATGCACAGGAGGCCTGTTACTAAGATGTCCCCAAGTTTTTTTTTTTAAGGTGTGGTGATGCCCGGTTTTCCCAAAATTTTCTAAATTTTTTTAAAAAACCAACAACCCAATGTCCTCTGTATTTTGCTCTGTGAGGCAAAGGAAGGTGCGTTTTAATGGAGAAAACGTTACCACGCACCAAGTTGCTATCTTGAGTTTACCTTCTCTGGTGGCTAATTTCACAAATCGGCAATTTCACACACAGCTGTCCAAAAGGTGCTTATTCAAAAGGTAACTGGAATATTTTTCCCTCCTGGAAGACATTTCAATTCTCATCCAAGAAGCTTCTTCACTTGTGCGTGTGTACACACACACAATATACTCCTAATGAGTTTTGCTCTCACAGTACTAAAATTCCAGATTATTATTTAAAGCGGGTGGACTTTAGCTCCCAGAATTCCGTAGTCAGCTGTCAAATCACTGGCGTCTGCTTGAACGACGAAAGGTTGTTCGGGGTCAGGGTGCTTCAGCGCTGGTTCTTTTGCAAACTGTTCTTTCAATGTTTCAAATGCCTTTTGGCAGGTTAGATGCCACTGTAGGGGTTGCCCTGGGCGAGGTTTCGTTCCTGGACTCCCTGTCTTTAGGAGGTCCATCATGGGTTTGGCAATCCTCATGAAGGAGGGGATGAATTGCCGGTAGAAGTTTGCAAACCCCAGGAAGCTTTGTAGCTGTCTGTGGGTGTGAGGGGCTTGCCAACCGAGGGGTCTGGAGGCTGTACTTTGACTGTGTCTATCTGGGAGTCCAGTACTTGACTCACTAGAGTTACGTGGTCATCCATCGTCTCAGTGTAAATGAGAACATCATCCAAGTAGACAAGGATTTGAAGGGGGGCGTGGATGCCGGAGCCCTGACACCAGCATTGCTAGCTGAAGAATTCTGGGAGTTGAAATCAATCCACCAAGGTTGGGAAACACTGTTCAATACTAAACCGAAAAGGAACCATGCTGTCTCTTAACAGGATATTTGAGTCCTGCCACTCTATGACAAGCTAAAAGGCAGCCAATGGTATGTTCTCCAAAATGGAAACTGTCAGTTGTCACCTCTTGTTTTCCTGTTGAAAGCAATTCCCCGGTGCCGGGTCAGTTCGGAAGTGCCTCTTCATAAAAAATGGTGAAAAGGGTACTATCTCCCACAAAAAAGGACTTCAGATTAGAAATTAAGTTTTTCCACTCTTATTGACATCTCAAAATCACTATGGTTAAGAAACACTGCAACTAGCTATTTTGGCCAGGGTGCAGTGACTTATTTTGGGGGAATGACTGGAGTCCCTCTCCCAAATAGTGCTCCTTCAACATCTTCCTCCAATTGCATTTTTAAAAAGTATTATTGTCAATGTAATTTGGATTTTATGTAGAATTAAAATAACAAGAGGCACAATTCCCTAGTTGAGCCAGAGCAAAGCAAAGAACTTTAGAGCTATGAGGTAAAGACTGGCAGAATTACACTCTGATCCAGGCAATATAATCTTTTTTTTTTTTTTGCAGAGGGATTTTTTTCCTGTCCCTTGCTTATTCTTGTACAATTTTGCCAAAACAATAAAATATATTTTCCCCACTGACGAGTTTCCATTATTGCTAATGCTCCTCTGGAGAATGTAAAATTCTCCCCAAAGGCTTCCAAATAAATTTTGCCATCAGGGGCATAGGAGGAGGTGTAGTTAGAATACATACGTGATGCTAAATTAAGGATATAAAAACTGGCTTATGAGCCACAGTTCGCTCAATTGGAGCCCCAAATGTGCTGCATTTTGGTTTATACTTGGAGTGAATTAATGAGGGTTTAAAACCATCTTGAGGCCTATGATAATCACTTTGTCACTCAGTAAATTCAGTTCTCCAAAATACCAGGCCCAGGAATGCTGATTTCTCCTATACCAGGGGTCACCAACACACCACCTACTACCACGACGTGGCTTATTTGGAACTGACCCACACAAGCAACGAACAATTCAAGCTACATGTATGCCCACTGGCCCGCTACTCGCATGGCCCAATTCCCCTGTCCCCCAGCCAGGCCACCAAGATGCAAAGGTTGCAGACCACTGTCCTACACCACTCTTGCCATTTTTCAAAAGCTTGATGGACTTTTCATGCCAACGAAAATTGTGCACGTAAATTTTGCAACATAAATTTTGGGCACAGCTGCGGTCGCACGTTGAGAACTAACCGCACTAAGATATCAGAGCTCAAAAGGAGCTATAAGTTTCAAAGTCCTGGTTTACCTGCTAAGGAGGAAGGACGAAACTTACATCTTTCCTTTTCTCATGAAAAGGAAAGTGTGTGTAACACAGAGCTGGTTTAGAGTTGGAGAGTGTCTAAGATATAAGTAGCACAGCTAGGTGTGAGACAGTCTAGTAAGAGGATGGAGGGGGAGCTCCTCAGTGGCGGGATTCAAATTTTTTTACTACCGGTTCTATTGGTGTGGCTTGGTGGGCGTGGCAGGGGAAGGATAGTGCAAAATCTCATTCCCTGCCCACGCCACTAACTTGCTTTCCAGCTCCGTTCTCCTGTGCAGGGCAACAAAAGAAGACCCAGCCAATCAGCTGGGACTCGG